GTGTGTGTGTGTGTGTGTGTGTGTGTGTGTGTGTGTGTGTGTGTGTGGGTGGGACCACTGATAAAGGCTATCAGAGTGCGATACTTTAGTAAAGACAAAAAGGAAATGTCTGTCTTTTTTGAAGAGTGCAATTTGTGGAGCTGCAATGTGTGTGTCAAAGACAGAGCTTTGTGTGTGTGTGTGTGTGTGTGTGTGTAGGTGTGTGTGCGTGCACGTGTTATAATAATTCACACTCACTTTTCACTTCAATAGACTTTATTAAATATCTTTGTCGAGATGGTATGATTCTGTTAAAGTGCCCCCTGGGAAACGTTCCCTTACAGCTGGCTTAATCAAATAATCAGATTGGTCACAAACAGGAGTCATTGGCCACATACAACACACAGATTACCTTAAATATGTCTTATGCAATTGTGCCATTCACATATGGTCCCTAGTTACCATAAATACTTTGTTAACATAAGTCTTATATAATACTGCCATAGTACACATCCATTTACAATGGAAGAAAGAAAGGTGAACATTGTGCAAGGACACAAACAGGAACTCTTCACACAAGATATTCCATTGAGTTCCCATGACACTGAGAATACAGGTAATATGTATTACAATTAATATATACTATATTACAGTAAATGCATTAGGATTCAGACAGATACAACGATACTTTCTTCCCAGTCTCAAGAGGAGAGTACATTCTCACATCCTTGTGCTATTCTCTAAAATAAAAGACTGGCACAACTGCCAGAGGATTATATAGACGTCATTCTTAATCTCGTCAGAAGGCCTGTCAGTCATCTCAAAACATTCGGTCAAAAAGACTCACAATCACAGAAAGAAACACACTATAGAAATTGCATCGCAGTCAAGGTTCAATAATACAGTAGACAACCTTTTACAAACACCTATAATCTATAAGAAGTTCTATATGAAGGACAATGGATTGCTCTGTTCCCGATTAGCTTTCTTTGGCTCACAAAATCACTATAAATAAACTTTACTGTAGTTCCTGTGATTACACATACAAGTGTATTACCATGTAATACACATAAAGATACATTTACAATAAAATACCTGAATCTGCAAACAGTGGAAATGCAATAAATATGAGTTCTTATATAATCAAATAGTAATATTTAAACAATGCTATAAACACATATGGGTACCACATGATTGCATGAATACAGACAACGAGCCAGCGTTTTACAAGTTAACAGTTGTCACAGACTTGGGATAGCTGTAGACATTTTAAATCTTAATCTTAAACTTCTACGAGTGAAAATATAGCAGACCGCATATCAGTTGCTGGAGGTTATCTAAAACCTCTCAGCTTAACACGCTTAGTACCATGGTGTGCACATTAGGTCATAATAAGCTTATTTTTTTAACACAATGCGAGCTTAAAATACATTACAGGATACAGTCAAATGTGCCACATGCACACCTGCACACACACACACACACACTGCTTCAGGGGCACGGACACTGGTTTAGGTCGGTGCACTGAGATTAAACATATGCACAGCTGAAAGCACCAATGATTCAACTTTGCGTAGCAAATGCATGATACAGCGGAATATTTTTATGATAGTTTGTTATATTTTCATCTGTGCTTTTCTGCCTTGCAGTGTTTGACAACACACACACACACACACACACACACACACACACACACACACACACATTACTAGAATCCACATTAGAGCATGTTTGTTGTACCCGGAGCCTTCAGATACTTAGTACTTATATATTTTGTCTAGAGGAGGAACTATGTGGGACGAGCGAGTAAGACACTCAAAGTCTTTCTCATTGCTAGCTTCTCATCGCTTGGAGAAACAGTCAGAGCGCTTCAGACAAAGAAAGACTGGATAGAAAGAACCTAAAACATGTCTTATCATTATTCTGTCTGCGGCGCTGTGAATGTTTCACCTCAGCGGCGTTTGCCTTGGAATTACAACGGACAGAAGACTGCACTACTGGCCACTACAGCAGTGACGGCTGAGAGGTCTACAGGTCTTGACCCAGCCTCTCAATCTCATCGATGAGGAAGTCGATGTCGGACTGGGTGACAGCAAGGTTGGAGACGACCATGCGGAAGAAGTTGACATTTTTGCCCTGAGGCTGGTAGCCCACCATGGTGGTCCCTGACTCCATCATCATGGCCTTAATCTTTGGTGCCACCTGGTGGAGTAGACGAGTTAGAAATTAATTGCATTCCTGATGGGAGTGTGCTGAAAACATTCATTGGTTGTATGGATAAAAAAAGGAGGGAAAACATGAAAGGTGATAAAAGGAGATAATGTATGCTTTTGCTTTATTGTTTTAATTATATATTTTATTTAACAAGGATGATACGCTGAATATTTATTTCACCAGAAACAGCTAAAAGCTCATTTCCATCTGTAGTCCACTGGCTGACCACCGGTGATGAAACAGAAGGAAAGGTGTCTTACCCTATGGAGCTTTTCTCGCCGCTCCTCACCGTCAGGCATGCCTCTCAGGCTGGGTGGGATGTACCAGAAGCAGACATTGGTGTGCTGGGGCTGCACACAGAAATAAACACTGTTAAAATATCCACACACCTCTGGAACTTTATTTTTATAGTTACACCACACAAAAAGAAAAGGAAGGAGATCTATTGGAGGAAAGAGTGCAAGAGAAATACTGTGATGGAGAAGAGTTACAATCACAAAGCATTAACATACCAATAATTGCAGTTTGTTAAGCTAATATGAGATTGTTTGTTATTGGGTAACCCCCCTAAATGGTTTCGGTCATGCCAGTATAGCTTATTAACCTAAAAAGATATCAAATGTAATGCTCCTTAGTGATTGAAAATAACCTAGATAGAATAGAAAATTAGAGAAGCTCACCACTCCATCAAACACCATCTGATATCCCTCCCTGTTCTTGATCTTGTTGTACAGGTACTGAGACAGGTCCAAACACCTGTCAATGTGCTGCTCAAAACCTATGGTGCCCTGCAGGAGAAAAATAATCTGTAAGGCACTAATTACAACAAATGAGTATAAAGCCACAGCATCTGTTATAATAACATGACCATGACCATTCCTATTGGCTTTTATTCACCTTGGCCTTCCACATGAGCCAGAACTTAAAGATGTCGACGTGTCGGCCACACTGGATTGCTTTGTCCCCTGTGTCGTAGTTGGTGTCGTACTGTTTGTCTGGTTGGAACAGGTAGCCAGCACACATGGAGTTACATCCTGCCAGGATTCCCTGCAGACACACATAAAGCACATACACTGTTAACCTTTGTTTGTTTTATGCCCATTGCACGTTAGCACTATGTAGAGCATTCGCAGACTGCAAAGGTTACATTAATATGAACATATAATGTATAACAATAATCCAGGTACAACACGCAGTACACAAATAAAACCTTCAGAATCCTGTGTTTAAACGGCTTTAAAAATGTATAAAATAGTTTTCATTGTGTGTTTACTGTACCTTCTCTTTGACCAGGATTGCAGAGCACTGCAGAGGCACGCCCATCATCTTGTGCGGGTTCCATGTGACAGAGTTGGCCCTGCAAAGTTTAATATATACGTCTTAATGCACTGAGGTAGTTTCAGAGAAAACTTTCTTCAAATCACAATGCAGAGCAACCCATCCGTCCCCATGTACTCACCTCTCAACTCCATTAAGCTTATGGCGATGCTTCCTGGACATCAGGAGTCCACCACCCCACGCCCCCTGAGGAGGAGACAGCTCTTTTAGAGGAGGGTTATACAGGCAAGGACGTATAATACTACCACTACCAATATATACGACAAAAACTGCTCCAGTGTCGACTACTCACATCAACATGGAGCCACAAGTTGTACTTCTCACAGATGTCAGCGATCTCATTGATGGGGTCGAATGCTCCGTACACTGTCGAACCAGCCGTGGCATTCACAAACAATGGCACATAGCCCTGCAGAACCAACACGCATGACAATTAGAGGGTTGAAGAGCGAGGAGGAATAAAGAGAGAAACAAACTAAGAGAGAGAAAATAAAGCAACAATAACACTGACCTTCTGTTTAGCATCAAGGATCTTGGCCTCCAGATCTGCAGGAATGACTCTCCCCCTGAAAGAGCATCGAGCACCATGTTATCACCAACATGCCATATACAAGAGTCATGGAACAGTGTCTTTCCCGTTTTCGTGACATTGTTCACATGCAGCATTTTACACATTTACTGTATTAATTGTGGCTTTAAAGGAAATGAATTCCCCACCTCTCGTCTGTGCTCAGCAGGATCACATTCTCAGAGCCAAAACCCAGAGCAGCTCCAGCCTTCTTTATGGAGTAGTGACTCTGTAGGGACAACAGACATCTTTCATTGAAATAATCATGTAAAATAATACAGTGACGATTTTGTGAGGTAATTGCTACTTCAGCTTTGAGTTTGCTTTCTGTCATATTGTCAGCAACGCTTTGCAGACAAAAGCAGATGTAAGAAAAAGTAAATGGAACCCATAAAAGTAGCCATTGCCTGGACTCAAATAGACCTACTGATTATTACCGGACTTTATCAACGGCCTCAATCTACAGCCAATGAAGCATAGCGTCTGCTTGATTAGCATACTGTGTGTGTGTGTGTGTGTGACGTACGTGTTCAGATGTGAAGAGGACAAGGCGAGGAGCAGCACACATGCCCTTGGTCTTGACCTCGGGGAAATACTTGTACCGTGCGATCATCACACTGTACATGTTGGAAATAGCGCCCCCTACAGAGGAGAGACAGACGCATCAGCACCATGGACAGCAGCATGGTAACTAATGGTAACTAATTATTGCAAAAAATTGAAATAGTATTCGCTCATTAGACTTTTTCAACCCACAATGACACCCACTCAACCAGTTATTCATAGACCAACCTGGTGAAAAGAGTCCATCCCCCTCTCCATTGGGCCAACCAATCATCTCTCTCATTTTCTTCAGAGTCAGCTGCTCCATCAACACAAACACTGGAGCGATCTCATAGGTGAACCTGTCAATCACATCACAAAGCGTGTGAATGTAGCGCGTCATTACACATTACTGTAACGGTGGAGGCAATAACGTCTAGCATGAAGAATGACAGAAGATTCTTATGCACACACTTGCAGATGAGAAAGCCTAAAATCGGACACGCCAAAACACACACACACACATTGGTTTTTTTCATTAGCCGCGCTATAATTCCATCCATGGAGCACAAACTGGAGCTCGTGCTGACTGGGCTAATTAAAAAGTGTCTGATAGGAGTCGGGCAGCAAACATTCATATTCAAAAGCTTTCTAAAATCACTCAGTGGTTTAATTAAAGCATACAAAGCTCTGATGGCTATCTGTCAATCCTGCCAATCTCAGTGGCGAGTCTGAATGGGGCTGATTTGATGGCTGAGAGGACGTGAGTGTGTGTGTGTGTGTGTGTGTGTGTGTGTGTGTTTGTGTGTGTGTGTGCGTGTGTGTGTGTGTGTGTGTGTGTGTGTCTGTGTGTGTGAAAGACCGGCAGGGAGAGTGTTTCAAAGAGATAACAGCCTCTGTTGACCCTGAAATTCAGAAATTGAGGGAGACGCCATAATTGTAAATTTTATTCTTTCATTAGAAGAAAGTAAAAGACGTCCAAAAGTAATATTCACAACTCAGGAAGACTTTTTAGAGTAGTGAGACACAGCTTTCAAAACAATGGTAGATGTGATTCTGATCTCTCTGTCGGCTGACAAAAGACAAAATGGCTCGTAGCTCCGCGGACAACAAAAGAGCAACACTGCTGGAGAAGCTTAAGTAGATTAAACGTGTCACAGAAAGCCAACTCGGTGAGGCCTGAGCTTTTACTGCCTTTGCTAACCGACAGGCCATCTCATCGCCTCCCACACACACACACTTAGGACTGATCCCTGTTTACCCCGCTTTTAATGAGGCCAGTTACACAACACTCCTCCACCCTTATCAGCCACCGCCACCACCACCATTACCATCCAGAGCAACAATCATATCTCCTCTCTACCTCGATTCCTCTCTGTCTCGTTCACAAGTATCTAAACGAGAACTGAATCGATTTCGTAGCTTGGTTAGACAGCAGGAGGGATAAAGGCTGTGAGCAGTATGGAAACAATGCACCGAGGGAAAATGTGACAACAAAGGGAAGAGGAGGGGATGATAAGGAAGCCGAGCAAGGAAAAGCACACAGAACAAAACAGCAGAAACAAATGGCAGAGAATTCGAGAGAAAAGAAAATAGAGTGAATTCTATGGTCGAGGATAGATGGAAATTGAATAAGAAACAGAAGGATGGAGGAACAGAGAAGAAAAAGGCATTTTTCTTGTGTAATTATTCCCTGTGAGGGCTCAGCCACGGTTTATTGGAACATTAGCTTCTGGTCAATACCCCAGATAAGATTGTGATCGCTGGGCTTCGACTATATGAACAGCGACAGCAATGCATAAAATCACAAAGAAGTCTTATTTTGTCGCCTCTCACTGGGCTAATTTCAGAAATATGATATTCTTTGATATATTGGAATTAGGGTCCATATAAGGAACACAAAGAATACCTAATATCCTGGATGGATCTTAAAATGTACCCAGAGCAGAAAAGGGACAAAAGCAGGACACCTTTTTAAAATTCTCCTTCTCTCCGTGAGTCATTTCACGCTGTAATGACAATAATGGTGATCATTATCACAATCAGAGCCAATCATTGGTCTTTTCAGGGTGAAAATTACCCCTCAGTCACCTGCCCGTCTCCAGGGACAGCCCCTAAATGCCCTTATTATCGTCATCAAGGGCACTCAATGTGTATGAGCCTGCGTTTGAATGCATGCGTGTGTGTGTGTGCGTGTCTATGTGACTAACCCTCTGACCCCCCCACTGCACTCTCCTCTCAGCCCCCTCAAAGGAGCACTGAGTCAGTCTGTAACCACGGGGACAATGGAGCCAGAATGAGAGCACTCCGCAGGGAGCTGCAGCAGCCAGTTTCCACCGTGTGACGTGGTTTTCTGTGCAGCCGGAGAACATTGTGTGTCAGTGTGGGGCCCAGCTGGCCTATCTGCTAAGACCAGCTCACAATGAGCCTGCAGCAAATGGACTGGAAATCCTAGCTGCTGTATCTGGGACAGCCAGAGCTGGTATGTGTGTGTGTGTGTGTGTCATTATGAAAGTGTGCGCCAGTGTGTGAATTCAATGGCCCTGTCTTCTTCCAACCAGGAGATGAGAAGTTTTTTTTATTCCCTGAGAGGGGGTGGTTTCCTAAGCTAATGTTTTGAGAAATGGGATAAATTAAGTGTCTCAATTTCCTTTAGCGTTTGGTTTATTATCCTTCCGTTGATCTTTTCTTTAGCAGCCAGTCTAGGAGGAAATATTTTAAACATGAGCATATACATGTTGTATATTGTCCTCTGCCCACTGCTTATCTCGTGTGGTCTTTTTGCACTATAGCGGGTGCTGATGTCTCTGTAGCAATATGTCAGTTATTACCATGAAACTCTGTTTCTACAACAATGTCACCGAAGAAAACTCCTGCAGATTTGTTGCACTGTTTTTGTTGTCATACCCAGATTGTTTTCTCTCAAAGGTATGAGTAGACATGAATGAATTAGTCGATTAGTCAATTCTAAAAACCTTTAAGTTCTAAGGATTTCCCTTTGTCATGTGTTAGTAAATTGAGTATTTTTAGGTTTTGCTAAAAAAAAAAGATATTTCAAAAAAGACATTTCATGATGTCATCTTTTGCTTTTGGGAAAGTGGGACTGGCAGTTTTTTTTTTGTTAAAAAATGTTAACTGGATAATGACTAAATAATTATCCGATTAGACGATAAAGAAAATCATCGATAATTGCAGCCCTACTTAAACATGCTGTACATTTCCTTCTTAGCCCCTAAAGTCAGTCTTAATACTTAATATTAATTTTGTAATTTCTCCACTGAGAATAAATTGAGAGGGCTTGTGTCTGTGTTCAATAGTGATGTTTTTTTATCATCCAGTGGTCATAACAGAGTTATAGCTTATTTACAGCATGTGTGTGTGTGTGTTGAGACTGTGTGATCTTGATGTGGTTCATGCCCTCTATTAGACTTGGCCACCATGTAACTGTGACCTGAGATCAATATGCAATCTAACCACCCCTGGGGCTGTGCTGCCTTCCATGCAGTACAGCACAGTGGCAGCCTACCGCCTCAACACACAGTCTCAACAGGACAAACCAAACACTTTATATAACTGCCCTCAGAGGCCGTATTCGACCAACTGTGGTGGTAGCTGAGAGGACTAAAATAAGCACATCCACCCTCACTATATATGATAATGACTGGGGGCTATTTCCAGTGGCCTACAAGCTGGAAACCTCAATTGTCCTGTCATGACATGGAGAGGTGTTCCCCCGAACAGACAGGCCAATAACTGTGTCATGCAAAAGCAAAGAGAGCGTAACTTACATGTTGGTGTTAGCAGTGGAGGTGAGCCACTCCCCGGCCAGACCGATGATGTCCAGACCAGAAGACAGCTGGTTGAAGAATCGTGGGTGACCTAAACATGAAAAATATAACTCTCTTAATGTCTTTCCTATTAACAGGGCTTCACTGCCCCTCAGCCTCTCGTGTTTTAGATGAAAAAAGAAAGCAGAAGGAAAGACAGACACTGAAACATCTGCCTTGTCCTGAGTACGTTCGCTTTGTGAAGGCATATAATGACGACAATGTGCTGCAGGCTAAAGCTGACCGCCTACATCTGATTGTGAAAATACATAAAAAATGTAAACACCCCATAAAGAAACAGTTCTTCATTTCAATATTCACAGTTGTTCGACCATGAAACCTCAGGGATGTGACATAGCACTTCTCAGTGTACATAATTACATTGGTAACAAGGCTATATGACAGCCATTTAGACTCTAAGGTGCTTGCACACACAGAAACCGTCAATAGGCCTGGAGCCTAAATGCAGTCATGGATGTAAGCACCTTGTGGAGGTGGTGCTGTGTGGCTCACACCAAAAAAATACGTGATTCTTATTGAGTTACTTCTGAACGAAAAATATAAAATGTGAATACAATAAATCTAATATCAAAGACTTTGCTGCTTAACAGCGAGAGGACAGACAGATCCGCTTCATATTTCAGCACTGCGGACAGCTCCTAGAGTGGGACTTCGCAAGATTGAGCACAAGAACCCACGCCGAGTCTCCGAATGAAAAGTGGGGTTGAGTTGTAGGCACAGTAGACCCGGCGTGATATATAAAACCCAAGGGACAGTTTGAGCGTTGTCGTTTTTAACAGCTTGAAACAGCCCGTGTTAAGATCCCCTCAGGCGACACTCGCTTTAATAAGTCGAGGGGGAAGAAAAGGAGGATGTCGACTGAATTACCATTGGGACAATAAATATGGCAGTCGTCGTAATGGGTAGTGCACTATCTGGCAAACAGCTCCCTCTCTAATGGTTCGTGTTGAATTCACCAATTCACATGAAAGTGAGAAGATGGACACGTCTTTTTTTTCTTTTTTTAATATCATAATATAGGAATATTAATGGAGATGCCAGCCGAGAGGTAAATATCATAAAATGACTGTAACATTCTGATAGGTTATGCTTGTAATGACATCTATTACTATATCTTGGTCTGCAGGTAAAAATACTATTTTTGAACTGACAGCGAAGGTTAATTGCTTTTCATCTCCACACATTCAGTGACCTTTTGCTATTTAAAATAACGTTTGCCACCATATAAATTATTTATAACCCCCACATTTCCTCAGGTGCAGCTCCATAGTACAGCTCAACATTGAAGATGTCCTGGCCTACCTGTCCGGACGCCATATTTGAGCGTGTCCCTGCAGTCCACCAGGATCTGCTCCAGGGATTCGGGCTGGTCGGACAGCTCCAGGTTGAAGCCCTCCATGCCCTCCAGGAGCTGGTGAGGGTGGTGGAAGTCCAGCACCTTGGTGGAGCGGTCGAAAGTCTTCTTGACGTAGGTGGTGAGGATGTCGACCATCTCCAACAAAAACTGAATGGTGGGCTCCTCTCCATTTTTGGCTGGCAGCAGGTCTAAGAGGTGAGGAGTGGAAATGTAACTTTCGCTAAATTTGGCTTTCACTGGAGCCCACCTTTTATAGAGCCAGGCTCTGAGCATGTTAACCATCACTGTTTAATTGAGTAGCCTTTAGAAAGCTTTGGGCACATATTCTTTTAAGTACAAATTTGATTTTGCATTTCTTACAATTTTTCTGTTATGTCTAATAATTATTTCCTTTCACCAACAGTCACTTTAATTCGAAGTAATGAGCCGACGACTATTGTGACCACGGAACGTGCAGCTCTAATAAAGCATGTAAATGGTTCGAGAAATGAGCGATAGCTTTTTTTTTCTTTTCTTTTTTTTAACGCGTAGTGCAGAGTAGCTCTCACCTCTGGCGAACAGGTTGGAGAAGTCGGTCTCGGTGAGGCGGAAGCGCGCGTCCCTGTCACTGTTGTCACACGAGAGCAGGTTCTTCTGGCCCGCGAGCCTCCCTTTCTCGTCCAGACTGTTGTTCTTCTGCAGGAACCCTAGGGTGTTACACGGCGGAGGGCAGGAGTTATCACCAAACACTTCCATCCCAAACTCAAGCAAAAATACGAAATATGAGACCAAAACAAATACAAATTAAAAAGAAAAAAAAATCAAGAAAGACGAATAATGAATGTCCAAATATTCAGCGTTATTAAGTCTATAAATATGTATATCTGTGTTATTAATCAGCTCCTAATGCCCGGATTCTTTCATGAGAAAAGCTTTTCTGGTGGAGGCCAAACCCATCCAGGCCATATATGTAGCCTACACAGGGAAGAGGGACCACACGCGTCTGTGTGTGGGGTGGGTGCCACCCACCACCCTGTGACATCACAACCACACCCCAGTGAGGAAGCACCCAGAAGCACCCAGTCCACAGACTGATCGGCTCAGTAGACATGCCCGCGGCGATGACCCATACAGCCAATAAATGCGCACCCTTAAGAGGGGATAATGACGGATGTACAGACCCCAAGCCCTATATGTTTTGAACTCTATGATTGATCATTATGTAGGCTCGTTATAGCTGCAGGATAATGAGGTCACGTTTGGGCCAGTCGTGCGCAAAATACGTGAAGTCACACACCCTTGTTATGTGTAAGCGTAAAATATTGTCTCTTATATTTTTCAATGGAAACTCCATAATGCCTTGCTCATTAAATCGTATATGACATATTCGAAATCAATATGTGAGACCCTCTAACTACCATAGCCTCCGTATAGAAATATTCCCATTCAATATATATTCCAATCCAATAAAAAATGTAATTTAGACCAATCAGAATCTATTTATTGATTTTCTCATTCTCGGAAATGGCGATATCAAACGTATTCGATTCTTTGGTCATAATTGATTTCTGCCGTAACAAACGGGCCAACATAGCATGTTTGAATGGATCATATATTCATTTCCCGTTTGCACAGCTGCACGAATAACATATTCATTTGTATTTTTTGAGTCACCGAAAGAAACAAATTCCTTCAAAGGATGACTGCAAAATCACGTCCGCTAATACAGGCAATCAGTGAGATTAACAGCTTTCAAAGAAAAACAAATGTATTCTTGTCTGACTGGAAAATGAAAATACTGGTGTATAAACAGGTTATTCTGGGCTTTATAACATCTCCAGGCCTGTCTCGATGGTTTTTCTCTTGGCGGTGAAATAGAAAAGACATGGGGGGTTCGGGGGGGGTGATCCGGGGCTCTCATCTTCAGACCTACAGGCTAATGTCCACTGACCTTTGGAAGATGGAAACACACTGTGACAGTCGTGGATGGTCCTGCTCTATAACCGCCTTTATAATGGCCTATTTCAGGCCTCCAAACGGGTTTATTCATTTACAAACAAAAAAAGAATAACAGCTACCCTGTTATGACATTTTAAACGGAATGGGGGCAAAATACACATCACGTTCAGAATATTATCATACATTCTCCATATGCCAAATAATCTGGCTCTTCCAAAAATGCATTATTCTAAGATGTCAGAATGTGACTGAGGTGATAGGAGTTGATTTTGAGTGCCCAGAAACAAAAAAAACTTACCACAAATCTTCATCCCCAGCTTCCGTGTGCATCCGTGCATCCACGCATATTCGTTGGCTAAAACAGAATGAACGTTTGAGTTTCATGGTGTGCAGGCCGCGGAGACAACGTGGATGGGCGGATGATGCAGCTGGTGGAGCACAGTGAGCACAGTGGAAGCGTGATGCGGACGGCTCTTGGCCGGGTGTGATGTGATGTGACTCTGAACTCTCAGGTTGTTTTGGTATTTTCATTTTTAAGCATTAACCTAGTTTGGCTCAACTTGTTTGGCTCAAGGTGGTCTTTGTTGAACCGAAACTTTATCCACTATTGTTTTTATTTTTTATTTGATTTACCACAGCACCCACTGATCGTAAGGGGATGAGCCTTATAACATTTCCGATTTGAGTTCAATCAATGGACACCGACAGTGGCCGGCTCACACACCCAGCCAAGGGGCGGGGTGGAATTAACGCCCGTGAAATGAGCTCACGGAGGAGGGCAGGAATTAATTGAGTGAAACGCAGTATGTGACTGGAGCGAGCTGGAAATGACTATGGCCGGAAAGTCTATAGCCGGCGTATTGCAGAAACTTCAAAGCCGGCCATGGTGCGTCTCATGCATCCACACTCACAGCTACACACAAACCCGAGCGTGGACATGCGTGAGCAGAGATGGAGCAGAAGCCCGGGGGGAATAAAAAAAATGCAGAGAGCGAGGCTGCGAGTACACCTGATGGAAAACTTTCAAAACAACAAGTATTTAAATTCACTGAAGCAATTGAGAGAGAACGGCTCGAGGTGGTGAGGCCAAGGCATACACACACACACACACACACACACACACACAGGCAGCCGCGCGTGCGCGCGCGCACACACGCGACCACAGACACTACAAGCCGCCAGGCGTGAGATGAAGCGTGGAAGAGAGATAATGGCAACATCCAGCAGCAGTATACGAACAGAATCAGACAAAACAAACATCTTCTTTTTAATCGGACTTTCGCGGGACAAATTCACATTCGAAATATGTCTGAGGTTTTCAGACATGTTTATCGACACCCAAGGGCCACACATAAAAGATTCATAAAATAAATTGTTCGATAAAGAGAGAAAATATGAAATTGAATTGAACACCGGTGCCGAGGAACTGTATCTGATTTCCTTTTACATTTGGCCGAAGACAAAAACATGAAATGATTTCCCCGCGTTGCGCTGCAAATGGCTGCTCGAGTGCACTATTATGGGGACAATTGTGTGCATGCAACAACGGCTTTAAAATGATTAATTAACCAATGGGTTAATGTATCACCTACATCAATATATTCAGCCACTTTTTGAAAATGAACAGCAAAATATGTCTCAAAGAGCAACTAATATATACAGCCTACAGCCTCGAGGGCCTAAAACATCCTGGCTGGGAAACGAGATAAGATGAATCATGACAGAAATAAATTATCATTAACATATATATATATATATATATATAATTATATATTTTATTTTCTTCCTTGCAAAATGCTTCAAAACATTTTAAATAGCACGATTAAAACCCAGACAACGAAGGCGTTACTGTAAGAAAAAAAAGGGAAAATGTTGAAAACAGGAATATATTCGATCGGAAAATGCTTTTTTATTCCAAAATGTCATCAGTGAAATGCCCTTGGATCATTATAAATAGCAATGCTTTAATGGTGCATTCTTTCTGCGCCAGGTCCACTGCTCGGTGCGCACCGCTGATCCGCCAGACAGCGACAGGCAGCTGTGATGGCTCTGTTTTTAACCGGAATGATTAACGACAAAGCCCACACAGCAAATGGCCCGGGCGAGACCCGTTTTTATCAGACAGAGAAGGAGGGGAGCGAGAGAGAGAGGCGGGGAAGCAGACAGAGAGGTGCGCGTGTGTGTGTGGAGGGGAGAGTACTGGGTTTAAGCCTTCGTGTTGGCAATAGATCGCACTGCATAAGTGTCTTTGAGCAAGGCACTGAATCCCTGTCAGCTCCAGTGGGCTGTTTCTGTAAACGCAGCTTTTACGCGCCGGAGACGGACAGCCTTAAGGAGAATTTACCCTCGGGGATCGATGCGGGATCACAGAGCGTTATGAACAGAGAGAGGAGTGTGAGTACGTACTTGTGGATGGAGGTCTTAAATTGGCGGAGTTGGGGTCCTGGTCCCCGCCAGAGGTTCTCGGTTCAGACGTGGCCATCAGTTCTCTGTTATCTGATCTCCAGCTGGGAAATAATTCAACTGCAAACAAAACGGTCCAGGGTTAGAAGATAGCCAGGTCAGTTTACACAAATCACACCTAATATATATATTAACTGCAGTCCATTTGATTGATATAACAGGATTTTATCCGAAAATGAGGCAATCCACTGTGCGTAACCATACGATTTATTCCCGAAGGAGAGCTGATTGGGCTACGAACCAAGCCGCGCAATTTGCAGAGAATTGCACATTGACGCACAAGCATTACGCGCACCAGGATAAACAGTCTTGGTGATAACATAATGCCTATGGGTACATTCATTTCGGAGATATTGCTCAATATGTCATGCATTCAATTGGTCATTAATTACTCCCAGGGCTACTGACATTAATGGCCAATATTAAAGATAAAATTCAAAAGTTGTCAGGGAGATATGAGAAATATATTTCCTTTGTTACTGTACGTTCTAATGGCTCGTTGAAACAAAATGACCTTTTTCATCAGAGCAGCGCCAGACTGTTAACATTTGAGCTGTGTCATCACAAAGGAATAAAAACAAAAATATTAAATACAAAAAAGATGCATTCAGCCTGCCATACTCAAGATGACATATGAGGAACAACTAAATTAATAGATGACAGGACAGACTGATTTATTAAGCAAATATTGATAAGATGCAGCGGCATTTACCAATTGACTCAGCAATCGACATTTCAATTAAGTTGCGCTTTGGACAAGCACATTCCATACCACCATCACTCACTGTCATCGTGGTCTGAGGGACAGACTGGACTCCTAATGAATCCCTTCTGTCACTCATCCGGGACTGATTTCTTTCAAACGATATGACGAATTATAACAGATCTGTATATTGCCCCCCTCCCCCCCAAAAAATAACTCCGACGTTACAATCACCTGTGTGTCTATGAAAAAAATATGAATCATATCAACATATCAAGGGGCGCATGATATGAAAGGCGGAGGCATCTTACCGGCTCAGGAGCGCACAGGTTGCCGAGTCCAGAGAAAACTAAAGCTAGATGTTACAATTACCACCCAAAGGCACGACAAGCAACAGTCCAGTGATGACGGTATACCAACAGAGCGCACTAATACAATCCCATCCAGCGGCGCGCAAGTGACCCTTTTCTCCCTCAAGAATATTTTTTATTCGTTATTTATATCTCAGACTCCGGCTGCCCATTGGTCTCTTCACGCAAGCATGAGTCACAGCCTTGCCTCCCTCTGACGACTAATGAAGCTTCCCTGAGTGCTACTGACAGCCACAATCCACTTTAAGGAGCCTAAAAGGGCGAAAAGGAAAAGCACCAGTGACGTATGCCCGCCGATCCTCTGTGCGTCTCCAGGTGTGGGTGTGGGTGTCACAGGATGGAGACGTGAATATGAAATGGGGTTTTTTCTGAGTGGGTTACCTATAGCAGTTGACCTTGGGATGACAAACACAGTTGGCTTATGGGTCTTAGGAACAGCAGTTCAGAATTCATACAACTCAGTTTCAATGGAAATGTGGAGGCATCCATCAAGCACTGACTGTAATATTCACCTTCATGAGATGACAACATTGCATGCATCATAATTTTTGACCTGCACCCTTTTTTTATTAATAACAACCGTGACATGGACAATAACACAGAGGCATCAAAGTCAATCCAGCTTGGAGGGCGTTGACTCACTGTCATCCTCCTGCCTGTGTCCTGGTCCACCGAACTAACCAGAGACCAGCCGTTATGTGCATTCAGTCATTGCAAATTACACAGCCTTCATCAGAGGGAACTCATACTTTGTCACAAGTGCCATCATGTGATAATAACTCACATATTCTGCCTGATAGCATCCCACAAGGATGGATTAGCTGTGTGTATGTGTGTGGGAGAGGCTGTGTAAGTGATGATAAAGTGTGCACATAGAAAACCCTTCGCTGGTCTTAATGTACATATCTACATTTAATCATACATTTATTTGTGTTCCTTTAAAAGTGTCAAGATGTCAACATCTCACTTCTTCCTGTGTTGAAGCTGTGTTTTATAAAACTTTGTAATAATCTGCAGAGTTCCTTGACCCATCAAGGTAGCGCCAACAGAACCAGTTTGAACTTGTTTTGCTGGTTGATCAGTTTAGCCTCATTTGTGACCATCTGTGCTCTGAACCTTAATCTGCCACTCCGTCACATAAGTCAAGTTTTCATCCAAATGTTGTGCCAATTTTAACAGTATTTCTGGAAAATATGCAAAAGAACACATGCTTTTTCATCCATTGGGCAAAAATGAGGCTTTGGTTCTTTGAGATAAACAGCTGGCGGTGCTAATTCTTCAGAGCAGAGCAATTCAAAAAGAAGAGAGTGCAGCAAGATGGCGTAATTAAAAGGGGAATGTGAACTAATTGGTGGAAAAGTGGAAAACATGATGGGAATTGATACGTTATCTTTCTTTCATGTATCAAGTTGGGAAACGTTAGTCTCCTCATCGCTGTGGCAAATAAGTGTCATGCTTCACAAACATCTGTTTCCATTTTTGCAATTTATTTGTATTGATAAATCAACTTGTCAACCTCAGCTCAGCATCAAAACTTTTTTCATTTACATTTCCATATTTGAGACTTTCTGGCACTTCCACTCACATGTAATAATTGACGGGAGGTGAATGGAAACACACTTATAGGCTTCTGAGATCCAGGAGTTCTCCTCACGTTTTTTCAATGTCATTCAAATAGTTTCACTATTTGTTAAAATTTGAACTATGTAAATGATGATTAAATATTCAAAGTTTGATACAGTGCCCCACCCAGTGAGAGCTTTAACAGTGCATATTCTTACTTCCATTTCCACTGCCTTGTTAAGATGAGCTTTTAGGAACTTTCAAACGCTCCAGAAGAATAATTATCTATCTACAAAATGTTCTTTTTCATGTTATAGTGCAGTGAGACCAGAGGAGAGAACAAAGTCCAGGGCGTAGAAATAGAGTGAGAGTGCAAAGGACATTCCCATGAACATAGCAGGATAGTCAGAACGGCAGATATTATTACGTGTACCGTTGCCATTGCAAAGAACTGTGACCGTTGCAGCAACTAAATCTTTATATTTCTTTGGTCAACGCACAGTGCTGAGTGCCACTTTCTTTTGAACTAGTTAAGTGACCAAACAGTTTGATGTCCGTTCTACTCTCATTCTATTTCGATGGTTCAGGGTGTGGTCCTGTAATTGAATGGGAGCCTCAACTGATTGGATAAATTAAAACCAAGTGTATAAAAATATATAATTTACGCTTAGTTTTAGCCACGGCCCTAGTGATGGCAATGGCAGTTGGTCCACCACTTTGGTCCAGGTTGAAATAACTCAACCACTATTAGATCGATCGCCATGAAATTTGGTACAAATATCCATGGGGAAATTTGGTGATCCCCTGAACTTTCATGTAGCTGCATCATCATGTAAACATTTCAGTTTGTCCACGACTCAAAGGTTTGACTTAACACCTGACAAACCAGTGACATTCCTGTCAGCCTCGGCTGTCCTTTGTTCATGAGTGCTAATTAGCAAATGTAAGCATGCTAACACGCTAAACAAAGAGCATAGTACACATTATATGTGCTTAGCATCAGCATGTTAGAATGATAGCGTGCTGAAATCAGCATTTAGTTCAAAGCACTGCTGTGTCGAAATGCAGCCTCAGAGATATACGCTAGTGTGGCTGTAGACTACTGGATACTTTCATCTCTTTAGGAATCAAAAAATCCTGAGACTGAAAGTCTGGGAAGGACGCGTGCTCTTTGTTCAAACTGTTCACAGACTAAGGTCCACACAGAGGTCACGCCTTGAGATTAGTGAGCACAAATTGTTTCATTTTAAAGCATCACATGGCCAAAAGCTCTGGGAACAACTGGTTTAAGCAGTTTCTGACACTCACTGTGAAGAGCTCCGTATAATGGCTGGTAACAATGCCTGATAACAAACACGTAAAGATAATGTTGAATAATGTTATATTTGTCTTGTAGTTGAATTTGGAGTTGATAATTGATCATTTTGTATGGTCTTCCTGTTTATTAGTACAGTCTTAAAGGCCATGGAAACACATACACACAGAGCACGTCTGGTTATTTCACATGAAAGATTTTATGTATTTTTTGTAGGGAGCGGAAAAATGTCACAATTAACTTTACATCTTTTTGTAGTCCAACTTCTATATATTTATGCTTCCATTCAGCTTTGTCAACAATATGTTATTTGCAGATGAAATATATAAAGAGATACATAAATGTCACAACATCTTCAAAATGCACAAAGACAAACGTAGCAGCTACATGTGAACAGAGCCGGGCCTGTCATTGCCTCGGTTGTTTTGATAAAATATTTTCAGGGGGAAACGTGAGAAGGAGGACACGGCTTGTGTCTGTTTTCTTGCTTTTCTTCTTCATCATCATCTGAGGATGAGGAGGAGGAGCAAGATGAAGAGGAGCAGCTTGAGCTCTGAGATGACTCCTCGTCGCTCCCAGAGTCCTCATCATCATCATCATCTTCTTCTTCTTCTTCTTCCTCAGTGCTCTGCTCTGCCTCTAGCTCTCATAGAAAAGACATGACACAAACTCGTGACGTGTTTTGTAATGTGCAGAGTAAGTGTTGGCGTTCGTATAAAACAGAAGGACTCTCACCCTCCAACAGCTTCCCCTGGATCAGCGGGAGGAACTCAGAGGCCTCAGGATTGTCTGGTTCGTAGATGAGAACTGGAAGGAGGAGAGAAGAGGCAACATTGGCTGACTTCACCGGTGGCTGATTCATTGACTGACAGACATACGGTTGATGGATGCAGGACACTTACTCATCCGACACAGTTTGCTGGCCAGCAGGTAGTCTCTGTCCATCATAGCTCCGAGGAACTGAAAACACACATTTTCAGTTAAGTTTCAATTTTCTGCCGACTAAGTATATCCAAGGTAAGTAAAATATACGTCTTTGACTAAAATCAGGGATTCAATTGATTCCTGGCATCTGAAATAAAACAAGAAGTTGCTGCGGTTTAGCCAGTCCTCTCAACAGAGCATGAAGTGTGCAGGTATTTGATAGTGATCCGTCACTTTACCTTCATTATCAGCTGCACTGGTGCCTTAATGTCTTCATCCTCAACATCCTCTTCCTCGGTCTGTTCTTCCTCCACATTTGGCTCATGAGTCGTGAGAGGCATAGCTGGTGGAGGAGAATGTGTTGTTCCTCCTGACAACCATTAACACCATCACCAGTTTCTTTCTTACATTTATTACTTTGCGTTTAGTTCTACAACAACTTACCTGTTAGTATTGAGTCTGGGGGCTCAACGCTTCTCAGGTCTTTGATTTTCAGCTCGTCATCGGGCACTGTAGCCGACTGCGTGTGTTCTCCAACCCTGAAATCACATTTAAGATTAAAAACTGTGTGTTGGCAAACATTTCATTTGTCTGATCACCCACGATGTGAATTCATAGTACCTTGGTGTTATCTTGGTGGATTTCTTTGGGGAGAACTCTACAGGGGAACAACAGACATACAAGACATTAATTCAGCCAGGAAAACCTTGCATGGATTTTATATATTTTTTGGGGGGCACAATAGTATATAATGGTAATCTTGTGTGAACAGAAACAAGCTGAAAATGTTTGTTGATATGATGCTGTAAACAAAACATGAAACTTTCTGGAACAGTCTGGAGAAATGATGAGGGAAAAATGACACAGAGAGCAAAGTTTGCTTTTAGTGTCCGCAGCATGTCTTTTCATTCTGTCACAGCTAGTGACTGTGTTTGTGACTAACTACATTTCCCAGAATGACTTTTGACACATTTAACAAGCAAGCACCAACACATACATCCATATATGCTTGTGGAGAGTGATCCACAGCAATTGCAATGGAGCAAACAGTGTTTACCTGAGGGGGAGCCGGAGGGTGGGTGCAAGACTTCTACAGTTTGCTGCTATAGTATTGCACTGAATATTGAATAAAGCACCTTTAACATGTCTAAGGGTTGCATTGCATTCTGATCTTTTGACCAGAAATTGTAATTTTTGTAATTTTTGTAAAGAGTACAACAGGAGTTCACCACCACATACTGTCTGTATCCGGCACGGCCACACTTGGAAACCCAGACTTTTGAGTCTCTTGGCAAGAAACCTAAAGTAAGGAATAAAAATAATAATAATTACAGTTGTGACACAAAACATGTTTCTGTCAATCCAGTCTTGGTGTCTGTCCCAAAATACTTACCTTTACAGAACGAAGCAGCTGGGCTGGAAGAGTCCTGCTGGATCCAAAAAAAGTAAATGAAAAAATAAAAATACTGGATAAGGAATTATGTGAAATGTATATTTGCTGAGATGGGACTTTTCTTACCGAGGTTTATCAGTGACTTTGTTTTCCCCCATGTTGTCTAGAACATAATGAGAATGTAAGTCTGTCATTAAAGGCAGGTGAGCAGCATAAGAACAAGGTGGAACTTAAGTCAAATCTTGTGTCTTTCATGTCAGCTTTAAAAAGGGAAGCAAGTCAGGATGTGGTGTTCAATAGTCTTACCATTGGGTTTGTACGTCTCAGCATGAGCAGAGGTAACTTCTGCTGCCGACTACGTCCAAGTGGAGTGATCAAAACTATTTTAATATTCATACAGTACAGTAGCAATGCTCAAGCATGGTCAATGTATAACCTACTCAAACAACACTACATATCATCAATTCATAATAAAAACACATAAACCTGTGTTAACATCAAACTAGTGCAATAAAACAGAACACAGTTGACTTTCTTCTGTAGTGTTTACCTGTTTCTGTGGACCCGTGGAGGATTTCCCCAAACACTCTAACCTGAACATGAAATTACAGAAGTCATGTAACTTTATTATTGTTTGTGCATTAATTAGCATGGATTTTAAAATCCTAACGTTTCTATATGGATTCAAGGTTAACATGTGATACTTCAGTGGAGCTTACTGTGTGTTGTTTAACTCGTTACGTGTTTTATTTAGTCAATGGAAGCTGCTGAAGCAACATTCGTGGTACTGAAATAACTGACGTTACGTTTTCAATCATGACGTCCACTTACCAAGGCAGTTAGCTAGGTGCTAACTAGCTTAAATTAGCAGGTAAAGTTAGCTACCGTTGTTATATGTTGTAAACTAACGTTAAGGCACCATGTGCTCACCTGCTCATGGATGAAGAGAAACGACTGCAACTTAAGGCACTATTAACTTAAGGCACTAATAGCTAGCTAAGTTATAGTCACTATGGTTGTATAACGCAACATCGTTGCCATAGTAACGGAGCTACTCCGACCTGATGGTGCCTTCAAGTGCTGGCGGAAATTTTGTTATTAGAAAAATATACAGGTCATATACATATTAATGTTGTGCCATGGCATTCGAAGTATGGAGAAGCCGTGATGAAGTACTGTACCTAGTTGTTTTTCATTTTAAATAGGCAATTCAAAGTTTAGTCATATTTTGTCTTATTATTTTAAGACAGAACATGACTAAACTTGTATTCTAATTATTCTAATATTCATAATTCAGCTGTTTATATCCCACTCAGTTTGCAACAGTAGTGCAAAGTTGTTTTGGCTGCTTTATTGTGAAATAAATAAATTCATTGGAATGCACAAAAAGTATTGTTCACACTATTCAAGCTCAGAAATTAAGAGATTTTCTTCTCTCACTGGCCCCTCTTACTCATAGCCTGTAGCTGTTTCCGTGTCAGCCATATTTCATCCAATAAGTAGCTGTAACTGCTACATTAGCTGTGCATACATCGAAAGAGCTGCCCTCTGTCTTGAATCTGTGTGTCAATGTGTGTGTGTGTATGAGAATGTGAGGGTTTAGGTATTGTGTGTGTGGTTAATAGGTTCAGGTCTCCTCTGCACTTGGCTCTATTGTTTCACGGTTGTCTAATAATCTCAGGAAGATATAAACCATCAGACTGACAGGCTGAAAACTCAGACTTCCTGCAGAGACTAAATTAGCACATGACTGACAGGCTTGTTCATTTTTGAGTTTGAAGCACAGTTTACAGAAAGTTGAGGTGAGTTTGGACTGCTAAATGTGCATGCCTAACTCTTACCTTCCTGCACCCTGTCACACACCACACACACATCAATTAGGCGGTGCAGTGAAGTTGCTCGGACTGAGCTCCCCTCCTTGGGATCCCTCTCATGCACTGAACCGTGTGCGTGTGTGTATTTAGTGAGTGTGTACATGTGCTTCAGTGTAGACTGTATGTGTTTTCACGAGTGTAAAAAGTGGAGAGGAGGCAATCAGTCCTATATACTGTAGAGTTTGCCTTGTCGCTGCATTAGCAGAAGAAACCCAGCAAAGAAATGCACACACAGTATCACAACATAAAAACAATACCAGCCACATGCTGTTGCAGCTGGTAAAAATACAGAAACATCTCTTGAAATAACCAAAACTGATCACAGAAAGTCCTGTCTTCTTGTAAGACCCCATTGCACATATAAGAAGCTGCAGACACTTGGTTTTCACAGCTTTCGAGAGCCTGTCTTCATCAATATCCAAAAATAGATGTATTGATTCAATTAGCTAATTAAAATGTCCGCCGTCATCTGAGTTTCCAGACCCAACCTCTCACGTAAGATCTGATTTTACAGCAATTTAGCTAATTCAGGTCAAAATGCCAAACACCAATATTGGTGGAACTGCTCCGACTTTGTCACCTTGTTTTTATGGAGAACCCCCCACCCGCCTCAACTTCTGGTGCCCAACAACAGACAGACGGAGAGAGCCACAAAATGCACACATACAGCTCCAGCAGCCCATCAGGCACACCTGCCATGGACGGTTGATGGGAAAATATATTCCACACAGAGGACATGATAACAGAATCATTTCACACTTCAGTGGTCCTCTACACATTCTCTTTGTGTGCATTTATGAGCTTGTGTGTGTGTGTGTGTATGTGTGTGTGAGTGTGTGTGTGTGTGTGAGTGAGTGAGTGAGTGAGCACCCGCATGCACATCTATTAGTGTGCTGGCGGGTTGTATGTACTGTATGTTCCTTGAGAGACTCACACATTTCCATTTGACGAGCCCCGAGGCTGCAAAAGAGAACCCAGAGCAGGAAAAAAGGGACAGGAGGACTCATCGCGGTCCTTCAGGACATCACCATATGGAATGTGAATGTGTATTTCCGTGATGGAACGCCACTGAACACACTGTTCCCATCATTAACGGGGATCCGCTTTAACAAAACGAAGCAACGTCACGCCGTCATAAGGACCTCGTCTGTATAAGTTTGTGTGTGTGCATGTGGCACTTTTGACGCTCATGTTGCTGTGTCCTCGGGCCCGCGTGTTTATGAAGCATCTGTGCAGGTCTATCAGTGCGGTGTGGTGTGTGACGATCCATCCTCACGCCTCGCAGTCTCTGGCAGGCTGAGGGCTAATAATAAATGCAAATTGCAATCAGAGGAGCAGATCGGAGCTGGAGAGGATAATTGCTCTATTATGGCTGTGTGTGTGCGCATGTGTGTATCTTGTGTAACGGGGGGGGGGGGGGGGGGGGGGCGGGCACTTACCAATGCCAGGTGCTGACGTCACAAACAGACTGCATAACAAGACCAGTGAGGTGTTGCAAGTATCGATTTATTTAATGGAAAATCTTTTACTTTTCCAGTACGAGGGCCAAGTAAGGCTAATTAGAGTGTGTGATGTAACTGCGGGGCCACAGATCAAAAGAAAGAAAGACATCTACACTACAAGCTGCTCCTGAATCCCACTGTTTGAAAATCGGTGTTTGAAGCACACAGCTGTGGGAATACCGTATAAATTCAGTGTCATTTACAGATGAGGCCTGTAATGTGTCTTTCCCCGCTATGACACTCCTTAATTTTTCCATTTCATTTAAGTTATTAGGATCCTCATTAGCTTCATCAAAACAGAGGCTGGTTTATTCCTCATGGGGTGAACACACACACACACACACACACACACACACACACACACACACACACACACACACACACACACATTTCATTACCAGACAATCCAAAAATCCATTTAAAACATGGTACCATCTCACAATGAACAAAACCACAGAAACAACAACAAAAACAAATAAAGAAACAACAAATCTTTTCAAGAATAAAATGCTATTCAGGTAAATAATGTAACCTTGCTAACTACCTCTTATGTGACTCACGGACATCTATGACTCAACCCAACTTCATGCATGTAAAAAATACTACAAGACTTCCATGAAACCACGGCTCCAAAATATTCTTAATACAACAAAGTAAACTGCACATTGTTGAGGCAAGACACATTTTCCATCTAACTGCTGTTACTGCAGAATCCCATATGAACGGTCCCCAGGTCTGAGAGGGAAATCTGGAACGCTCGATTCACGTTTATCAGTTAATTTCCTCCATAAGAAGTCCAAGAGTCATCACCTTTTTTCTTCTCCTTCAGTTATTTTACATTGTCATGGTGCATAACAGCAGAAGCACATACTAAGTGACTTATCAGTTTATTGTATTTGCTCTATTAAATCATTCTTTCGTGTCCTCGTAGCATGAGCCAAGGGGTTTTACTGCTAATATTTAACTTATTACCCATGCTTTGCTTTTAATGTGAAATCTATTTAAGAGGATGACTCCAGCCTCTGGGCCCTTTGTTATATATTTGTGTGCGAGTGTGTGTGTCATCATCACAACCATCATCATCATCATCTTTGACTTCGTAGGCACTCTTTCACTTACTCTTTCCATTCCTCGGCCGCACAGCTCACTGATGGAGCTGGCCCATCTGTCTCTCTTTCAGCCCATTCATCATTTCCTCACTCATCAACTCTGTATTTCTTCATTTTCCTGTCCTCACTCCATCTCTGTCTCTTCTTCACTAGTCGCCCATTTCAGGGGGTTTTGCGTTCCACCCCTTCCTTCCGCTCCACCCATCTGCCTCCCACTTTTCACAGTATCCATTTCCAGCCTTTTCCCTCGCCTCATTTTCTGTCTCTGTCATTTCTGCTGGCCGTCCATCCACAGCGGAAGATATTCCCATGAAAAAGCCCACAGAGGCTAATTCCATGAGGGGACCTGATTACCAGACTTTTGCAAATGTAAAAAAAAAGAAAAGTTTTGTCTTGTGATCGGATGATGAAACTGATCTATTAATTTGTATTGAAGGCTGTGCAAAAAAGAGACAGTCCGATGTCCAGGCCAACGGTTTAGCATTAAAACTGATCATAGTAAAAAGCTATTAACCGTTAATAGACACATATGTATTCACATCATCTTTAAATTTGAGAGAGACCTTTAAAAATGGAAACATTTGGTTTAAGGATGGGGCAGTGAAAGGGTAGAATTGGTACAAGAGGGTGTATGCTTCATAAACCACAACTAATAGAGATTCACAAGGCTGGTTTATACCTCAAAGGACATTTCTGAGATAGAAATGTAAGGAACGTGTTCTCGTCCACTTATGTCTCTCTCACATCCACCCTTAAAGGCCCTGAAAGCCATACTTTCCAACTTCTAAAGTGAAACGTGAAAGTAGGTCCTTCATGAACACATTGCTATCTGGCAAAATAATACTTGTTCTTTCACATCAGAGATGTGTGTGTGTGTGCTCTGTTGCACCTGTCACCACACCCACCAGTGATGTCACAGTGTACCGACATGCCCTGGACTACACTTCTACAGCGCTGAAACAAGGGGAGAAGTTAAACCACTGCAGGTCAGCAAAAATGAAAGACATTTTCAGAGTGTGTTAAGTTAACAGGGTATAATAATTGTAATCAGAATCATAGACTGTATATAAGACATACTAACCATGACGTCACGTTTTGAAGCCTCAAGTTTGTCATTTTGGCAGGAGCCATCTTGGTTTTTGGCCATCATTATTTTGGCTTTTTAAAAAACAGAAATGACACGAGAGGGAGAAGCTAAGTACAACCGAAAGCTGAATAATGATGTGGTAGCCACGCCCTATTGTACTCTAAATGGGAGCATAATTTACAAAATGAACATCATCATTGTATTGAAGAAGACTTGAAACGAGCGTTTGAGACCATGAACTCATGTTGTTTACTGAGGTAATATATCAAGTGAGAAGTAGGGTCATTTTCTCATAGAATTCTATACATTCTGAC